CGTGGTCTGTTTCCTGTGGCTTTGACAAGGACAAGAGAGGGAGAGGGAGGGACGGAGGGTCCCTGGGGAGAGCTGGAATCAGCTCACGTGGTTGTGGGGCCACAAGACCCCAGATCTGTGGTTGGGGGGAGACCCATGAAAGCCAGCAGTGTAGTTTCAGCCTGGGCGCTGCGGAGTCGGGACCCAGGAAGTGCCAGGCTTCCCTTTGAGTCTGACGGTGGGGTGCTGATGTCCTGGCCTTGACACCCTGGGGGGACCTCGGATTCTCTAGCTCTGCCCTTTGTTGTCTTCAGACCCTCAACTGATTGGGCGAGGCCCACCCACATTGGGCGGGTAACCTGCGTGGCACACTTTTATTTTTGATAACAAGAAATTGTCCCCGGGTATCTCTGCACTGAACGGTCCTGCCTGCCACCCATGTCTCATCTCCTGCACCCCTGCGGCTCCGCCTGGCTCAGTTTGATTAGGTCTGGGGTGTCCCCCGCCCTCCCCTGTGGGGAGGTGATTCTCTCGCTGGAAGCAGCAGCCCTTGGGCATCTCGGCCGCTCCCCGCCTAGCCACAGGGCCAAGAGGGCCAGCACAGCCCCCGGAAGTGACAGCAGTGGCCAGGAGGGACTCCAGCAGCCCTCTATACTTGGCCTTGAGGCCTGTGCAGGAGCCTGGCCTCTGGTTCGTCCATAAGCCAGTCCCTCTGCCTCCTGCCTCGCTCTCCTGACCTGCAGGAGATCAGGGCGGAACAGTGGTTGTAAGCCACGCCCACTATTGAGGGGAAGTTAATTTTGGGGGGCACCAGGGATTGAACTCAGGGTCCCTGACCACGGAGCCCCGTCCCCAGCCCTGTTTTGTATTTTATTTAGAGACAGAGTCTCCCTGAGTTGCTCAGGGCCTCACTTTGGCTGAGGCTGGCTTTGAACTCACGATCCTCCTGCCTCAGCCTCCCGAGCAGCGGGGATGACAGGCACCCGGCAGAATTTTTTTTTTAAGTTATATTACATTTAAAAAGATGGTGAACCCTCCTCCTCCTACCCTCTGAGTCGGCCATCGTGCGACATTACATACACTGGATTTTTTCATTTCTTTTCTGAGAAATGAAACCAAGGGGCGGGGCTAGGCTCAGGGGCAGAGCACTCGCCGGGCACCTTGGAGGCCCTAGGTTTTGTCCTCGGCACCAACAAAGATCAATCAGTAAAATAAAGGGGTCGTGTCTGTCCACCCCTAAAGACACTAAAGAGAAAAAGAGAAGTGACCTTCCAAATTAGAGGGAGTTCCTCTAGCCTCTTCCCTACGGACTCCACTTTCTGTTTGGTGGCCTCCTTCCCCTGGGTGACAGACACTTCCCAGCGGGTCTTATTCACGCGCTCTCAGGGCGAGAACCTGACTCCCAGGCGACTGTCCTGCCCCGAGCCGTGCCCTGGCCCCTTCCTGCAGGGCTTGGCCACCCCGTATCCAGGCTTCCCGTGAGGGGAGGCCACTGGGCTGGAGGCTGACCCTGTGTCGCAGGCAAGGACGCTGAGGCCCAAGGACATGTGATCGCCAGCCTCTGGGGTCCCCCGTGCCTCTGCAAGGTCTGCCCACGGCCCAGTGCCTCACTGAAAGGGCAGGAGTCCCAGCCTCTCCCTGAGGGGAGGCAGGGAGGCTCCAGGGAGGCCCTGGATCTTCTCCGTGGTTGCTGTTATCAGCCCAAGGGGGGACTGGAGGCTGGGACTGGAGGACGCCCGCGGGGACCTTGGGGCCTCAGCAGAGGAGGCCACCCCCGGGGTCTGAATGTCAGGTGTCTCCTGCGTCTTCTGTGGAGACCTCCTCACCAGCGTGCCTGGGGTCAGGGCTGGACGTCCGCTGGTCCTTGATCTTGGACTTGAAGCCTCTGGAATCACAGGTGACGGCTGCTGCTGTCTACAGCCCTGTTGAGGACATTCTGTTAGCACCCCAGGGGGACTGAGGTTTATGGCAGCGAGCACCTAAAATGTGCCGTGTTGCAGAACCGGGGTGTTGGGATGGGTGGGTCCGAGCACATCTTATTAAAAATGACCCGCTAGCCGGGCCCACGCCTGTCATCCCAGCGGCTAGGGAGGCTGAGGCAGGAGGATCGCAAGTTGGAGGCCAGCCTCAGCAGCCGTCCAGGTTGGGAGGCGGAGCCGGGCCTTTGGGGGGCCGTGAGACAACCTGCAGAGTCGCCAGGCCTGCAGGCGAGTGCCACGGCGCCTGCTGTGAGGGTCCCCCTTGGTGTGGCCGTGCTGTGGGTTTGGACAGATGTGTGACGACGTGTGTCCCCACGGGATCTCTGTGACCAACTGAGGGAGAGGGAGAGGACGGTGACATGGGATACCATGGTGGCCGGGTGGCAAAGAGAGAGGAGGGCCGATTCCCCTCTGTCCCATCGGGGCACCCCCAGGACCTGCCTGTCCTCTAGGCCCAGGGCCACCTCCCAGTAGTGCCACAGGCTGGGGACCAAGCCCTCGACCAAGCCCTGGGCCTTCAGGAGACATTCAGGGTCCCCATGGGGGCTGGGATGAGGCTCCGTGGTGGGCGCTGGCCTGGCGCAGGCCCCGCCCTCAGTGTCACATGGAAATGGACTAGGACAACGAAGGTCTGTGTCCATCTACAGCTGGGCAAAATGCTAGGGTCGGTGTCCCCAAGGTCGGTGTCACCCGCTGCCATCCCCTGAGCCCTGCTGGCTCCCCTCCCCTCCCCCATCCTGCATTGAAGAATTTGGGGCCTCTTAGGCTGAGGAAGTCGCAGAGGTGACACCGAGAGTCCCGCCCACCTTCTGGTGGCACCTGGGCGTGGGTGTCTCCGAGGACGTGCGTCCGGCTGGCAGGTGGACGTGGCGCGTGGCTTCCTGGGAAGCTCTGTGGGGGTTTCTGGTCCCTTTTTCTCCCAGGTCCCTGATCCGAGCCGGGACCCCGCCTGGTCCACCCCGGGCTTCTGACCCGCCCACCCTGTGTCCTGCCAGGGCCTGGCCTGTCCCCCTGCCCGGCTCCCAGACGAGGAGACCAGAGGGTACGGGGTACCCCGGTGCCTGGCCTGGGGGGTTTCCATGTCCCCCTTGCTGGCAGGGGACGGTGTCCAGGCCTCCTGCCGGCCTCTCTGTGCACGCCTGGCCGGGTGCTTGGTGGCACCCTGGGGGTGTTTGGGGATGACACCCTGTCACCCCTGTCCCTGGGGCACCTGGTGTGAGTGGGGAGGCTTTGCACGGTGGCTCTGTAGCGGGGACAGGAAGGGACCTTCCTACTGCTCCGGAACAGCCTTGTGGCATGACGCACAGATCCCGAGGGACACTGCTGGGCAGGGCCCTGGGGCTGAGTGCTGGCCACTGCCCAGTGCGCCCTCCGTGGTCCCTGGTCACACTCCGTGGCCACTCCCCCTGCTCGGGTGCTCAGCTGTCCCCCCAGGGCCTCTGGATTCCGCAGTGGCATTGACCTGGGGCCACCTGGTGCCCGTCCACAGATGGCGCTCGCAGTGCCGCGTCCCTTGAACCTGGGCAGAACCTGGCCACCTGTGTCAAGGACAAGGACCAACAAGTGGCACCACACAGTGGCCCAGCACATCTGGGCTCCCTGTCCTCCCGCGGGAGGTGGCCTCTGACCACCCTGGGTCCCTTGACGGTGGCTCTGTCTGCCTTCCTTCCCGGCCGGGCCGCAGCGTCAGCTCCGGGTGCAGGGACATGTGACAGCCGGGTGACAGTGATCTCCCGGGGTCCCAGGAGCAGCCTCCTGCCAGCAGGTGACAACGACTCGCTGTTCCCCCTCCCTGGCTTCAGCTCCCCTCGGTCAGCCTCGGTCTGGAGATCCCAGATGGAAAGTTCTGGAAAGAATTCATAGGTTCAGTGACTCGATGGCAGCCTGTTGTCACGATGCTCTGTGTTTTAGTGACTGTCATGACCCAACTCGCGTCCTGCCTCCTCCACGAGCTGACGTCACCGTGTGTCCCTATAGGAGGACACAGCATGCGGAGGGCCTAGTGCCACCGAGGTTTTGAATGTCCCCTGCGAGCCTGTCGATGACGGAGGCCACTGTACCTCTGCTCTAGGACAGCCTTGGACAGTGACGTCTATTGATCAGCAAGACTGTCACCAGCTGTTGGGTCCCCTGTTTGGACTGTGGGTGGGGGGACCGGACTGTGTGTCTGGTCCCCCAGCCCTGAGCTGTGGAGGTCCTAACTGGGGGGACGTTGGCTAGCCCGGGCCATCTCAGTGGGTGACACGGCTCCCCCGAGGGACTGAGTCCTCCCCTTCTCGCTGCAGGTCATCGACCCGGCCGGAGGTGGCCAGCATAGAGCCGCTGGGTCCCAGCGACCAACCGTGCTCCCAGAAGGCCGTGGTGCAGGCCCGCCTGACCCAGCCCGCCCGCCTGACCAGCATCATCTTCGCAGAGGACATCAGTAAGCGCTTTGAGGGACACGGGCCATCCTGCTGGTGACCAGGGACGGGAGACCCCCTGACCTCCAGTCCCCGAGCTGAGGTCCCGTGTTTGCACTGGGAGCCGCCCCTCTGGACCCGACAGTCCTTCCTGCCGTCCGTCTGTCCTTCCTTTGTTTTAACGTGCGAATTCCACTGCGTGGTACTCAGAATACACCTGACTGTTCCGCTCCGTCCTGCGGGCTCCCTTGAGGGCAGGACAGACAAACGGACGACTCCGGGGGCTAAACTTTATAAAGACCACTCACTGGGGAAGCTTAAGGTGTCTTTGCTGGGGCAGCATCGGGCGCGAGTAGTCAGTGGGCTACGTGCCTCAAATTCTTTGGGGTTCTGATTTATGCCGGGCGCGTAAATCCTCCCAGTGGCTCTGGAGGCTGAGGCAGGAGGATCACAAGGTGGAGGCCAGCCTCAGCAACTTAGCGAGGCCCTGAGCAACTCAGAGAGACCCTGTCTCTAAATAAGATATGAAAAGGGCTGGGGACAGGGCTCAGTGGTCGGGCCTTGGGACAGTGCCATGTTGGGCCAGGGTCCACCACGTGAGCTGTTCCCCGTGGACCTTCCACATCCAATCTGTGACACTTGCCCGTGTTTGATTTACCTCACTGGGAAACGCAGGTGCCCCTCAGCGTCCCTGGAGGGTCGGTTCCCAGCAAGATCTGCAGGTGCTCAAGCCTGGAGAGGATATGGTGCTGCGTGTGACCTCCAGACAGATGCCCAGACACGCTTGTTTGTTTGGTACCAGGGACTGAACCCAGGGCACCCGACCACCGAGCCCGTCCCCAGCGCTATTTTCTGTTTTATTGAGAGACAGGGTCTCCCTGAGCTGCTTAGGGCCTCGCTTTTGCTGAGGCTGGCCTCCAACTTGGGATCCTCCTGCCTCAGCCTCCCGAGCTGCTGGGATCACAGGCGTGGGCCACCTGCCCTCCCACCCACATCCTGCGGGCAGTGGACAGTCCCCCTGGGTGGAATGGGCTGGCTGTGAGATAAAAGCTAAGAAAGAAAGAACAAGGAGAAAACCACAGGATTCAGGCAACATGTCCAGAAAGCAGGGCAGGGACAGGCAGGCCGATGACGCATGGAGCTTCCAGACTGAGAGGCCACATGGCGCCTGCTTCAGCTCTGGGGACCATCAGAGGCCACCCACAGAGTGTCCTTCACCAGAAAAGGTTGAGAGTGGGCTGTCAGTTCCCAGAACCACCGTGAGGGCTCTTCCTAGCGGGGTGGAGGTCAGCTCCACAAGCCACCGATAGTTCCCGCGGTCCCACCTGACCCTCCCTGGCTGCCCACCGCGAGAAGACCCGCAGGTGACCCATGGGTGGCTCCCCGTAGTGGCCGCTGCCATGTTGCTCCCTGACTATACGGTAGCAGTGCACGGTGTCTCCATGTGGCACCTGGAGGTGACCTGGGTGATCTGGTGCCGTGTGCTGTCACCCTGACCCTGGTGGCTGCGAGGTGACGCGGTGGCACATCTCACTCACGGAGCAAGCAGAATCCCCGTGGGCGTCCACGCGCCCCTGAGTAAAAAAGGGAACAGAAAAGTCATCGGCGCAGTCCTTAGTGCCAAGTGTGGGGACAGAACTGGGCCACCTCGCCTGCCGGTCACCTGGGATGCGCGTCACTGGTCCTCAGTTCTACCCTGAGTGAGCCCGGACTTTCCTGGAGAAATTCTCTTCCCAGTCGTCCTCCCCAAGTGCCCGCGCACATCCCCAGGGCGCTGCTGGGCCCTGCTGTCCCTGAGGCAGTGTCTCTGTGAGGGTACGAGGTCACCGCCCTGCGCTGACCGCCCGCTGTCCCTCCAGCCACAGGCCAGGTGCTGCGCTGCGACGCCATCGTCGACCTCATCCACGGGATCCAGATCGTGTCCACCACCCGCGAGCTCTACCTCGAGGACTCCCCACTGGAGCTGAAGATCCAGGCCCTGGACTCGGAAGGTGAGTGTCCCCAGGTCACCTCCCTCCACGACGCGGCCCCGTCTGGCTCCTCCTCCACCCCACCCTGGCGCTCCAGCCTGGGGGCCTTGGGGACAGGGAGAAGCAGAGAGGGGCTGTCCCTGGTGTCTGTCCTGCGCACCTGCCCGCCCACCTGCCTCCCTCTCCTGCCGTGTCCCCCGCTGTGTGGTGCCAGCCCTGCAGGGGCAGCCCAGGACCTGACCCCAGCCGTCACCCAGTGTCAGTCAGTCTCATTACTGTGACAAAATGCCTGGGATGATGGACTTTTGAGGAGGAAGGTCCCTGCGGACGCACAGCCCTGGTGGCTCTGGGCTGGGTGAGGCAGGAAGAGGCAGGAGCCCCCATCCCCTCCCAGGATGCGTCCCCGTGACCCACGGCACCTCCTCTAGGCCCACCTCCTGACGGTCCCACCTCCTCCCCACAGTGCCCCAAGCTTGAGATGCAGTGCCTTTGGGGACATTCAAGACCTAAACTATTTTCTTTTGGTACCAGGGATTGAACCCAGGGGTGCCAACCCCTGAGCCCGTCCCCAGCCCTTTTTTAATTTTATTGAGATACAGGGTCTCCCTGAGTTGCTGAGGCTGGCCTCCAATTCTCCATCCTCCTGCCTCAGCCTCCTGAGCTGCGGGGACCATAGATGTGAGCCACTGGCTACTTTTTGAGCTGAAAAAGTGAAAGTTTGGGCGGAGGTTCCTGGAGACTCTTTCCAGCCCCCATCTCCCTGGAACCTCCAGAGCCCTCGCTGAGTATCAGTCATGCGGCCATTTCTGCTGTGTGTGGCCGTCTCCTCCCTTGTCCTCCCCCTCAGCAGGCCAGGTGTCATGATGACCTCGACACCCTGCGGCGTCACATGGTATTTTGTCAGGCAGAGATTAGTCCCCTGAGCCTGCGCACAGGGACGGGCCTGCTGGCCCACGGGGAGGGGCTGCACAGGCTTGAGGAGGGGCCTATGCACCCTTGGGGAGGGGCCTGATCAGGCACGGGGAGGGGCCTGTGTGCCTACAGGGAGGGGCCGGCTTAAAGGGTGGGGGAGCGCCCTGTGTGCCCACGGGAGGGGCATGCTTGCCCATGGGGAGGGGCCTGCACAGGCATGGGGCGGGGCCTATGCACCCTTGGGGAGGGGCCTGCTCAGGCATGGGGCGGGGCCTATGCACCCTCGGGGAGGGGCCTGCTCAGGCACGGGGCGGGGCCTATGCACCCTCGGGGAGGGGCCTGCTCAGGCACAGGGAAAGGCCTGCGCATGGGGTCCAGCTTGCGCACCCAGGGGGACGACGGGCTTGCGTGTCTATGGGGCGGGGCCTGAGCACCCACGGGGAGAGACCTGCTCACCCCCCAGGACGGGCCTGCACATGGGGTCGGACCTGCTCACCCACAGGGAGGGGCCTGCCCGTGCACGTGGACGGCCTGCGGGCCTTTGCACCCACAGGGAGGGCCTGCTTGCTGCCACTCTGAGCCCCCGGGGAGCGTCTGGGCCATCTGTCCTGGCCTGGTGTCCCCAGCCCTCCCTGCCCTCCTTCCCTGCTGACTCTCAGTCGTCTCCGTGCTTGTCCCGGGGGAAGGCGAGCACACAGGCCAGGGCAGGAGCGTGTGGACACGGCGTGTGGCCGTCCGTGGCACTTGGCCTGCAGCTGCAGAGGGGTCTGGTCTGGAGGCTGCCTCTGCCCTGGGAGGCGCCTCTCCACACCTGTCCGCGGTCTGGGCGAGGTGCAGGGGCATCAGGCGCCCTGGGGTCTCCACCTGCAGCCGCCTGGGAGGAGGGGCTGACTCAGCGCCCCAGAGCCAGCCCCAATGGGATGCAGGGACAGCAGCAGCGGGACCCGGTGGCCAGCACCTGAAGGCCTCTGCAGGCCCGTGATGCTGCGCGCTCCCCGGCTCCTCTCTCTACTCTGGGGCTGGCCCCACACCCTGAGGGTCAGCGCCTGGCTAGCCTCCAGCCTCACAAGGAGGATGGTGACAGTAGAGTCCCTTGTGCCCTCACGTGGAGGACGACTTCCAGTTCTTCCTTCACGCCCAGCAACCCTCACAGAACTGTGTCCATTTCTGTTTGTCAGAGGCCACCAGCGCCTGGACCCTGGCTGGATGGAAACCCCAGGGCAGGCGTAGAGTCATACCTGAGGTGTGACAGTGTCACAGCTGGTGGCTGCTGGGCCCTAGGAGAGGCCCATCGGGGCATAGGAGGAGGAGACCTCCTGCTGGGACATTGGTGGGATGGAGGGGACCTGCCCTTGTTGTTCTGAGTGTCCTGCGAGATCAGCGTGCTGGGCCCTGCCCTGCAGGGGGACTGTGGCCCGCTGGCTGGGGGCGTCCCGTCCCAGGTGGCTGTGGGGATGAGATCCCCTGGCCAGCACTGGTCAGCAGGGGACGGAGGTCCATGCATGGCTCTGTCCCGTGCTTTCAGGTCTGAAAAAATGGGTCGTCCATCGGCTGGGTATTTTTTCTCGACCCTCTAAGAAAATGAAATCCTGGGACCTCATCTGTCATGGACGAGGTGGCCTTCCTTCCTCGGTCAGTGGCCCACGTCAACGGAGAGTCACCACAGGGGCTCTCCCCAGAGGCCTCCTCCCTCAGTGATGCCCCGAAAGGTGCAGGCAGCGGGGTTTTCTGGAGCTTTCTCTAAACAGTTAACTGTCCATGGAGATCTTGAGTCAGGGCAGTTGAGGCCCAGGCTGACTGCCTTTTACTCCGTGGCCCCAGGGGTGTCTCGGGTGACCAGGCCGGGACTGGGATGAGGAGTGTGGGGCTGGTGCAGGGGCAGCCTCTGCGGGGCACAGTGGTCAGCAGGGCCCAGGCCCAGGGGCCTTATCTTTGGATTTTTCTGGGGAACTTGGAAGTTGGGTTTGTCTGTGGCAGAAGCCGGTGGCAGTCCTGGCCTTGGGAGCGCAGACTGGCTGGGCTTGGCTCTCTGTCCCCAACCCTGGGACCCTGGGAGTGTCACGTCCAAGGTGAAGAGACGGGAGACCAGACGTGGGCACTTCCTGCCCTGCTGCCCTCCCTGCCCGGGGGCTGGCAGGGAGGAAGGAGGCTCAGGCCCCAGGGCAGAGCGCTTGCTGGCCCAGGTGCCATGGTCGTGTCTGGTGTCACAACTGCCCAGGCCCAGCGGGTGGCAGGAGGCACAGCAGGAAGAGCCCGGCTCTACCTGGGACAGGTCTGGGCGCAGACCCTACCTCAGCCCCTGCTGGTCACCTGCTGTGAGCCTGCTGCCCCTGCCCTGCGCTGGCCAGCGAGCACCGTGGGCTGTGTGGGTGGCGCTCCTGGGGACACAGCTGTGATCTGCCCCTGCCACCCGTCTGCCCTTGCAGGGAACACCTTCAGCACCCTGGCCGGGCTGGTCTTTGAGTGGACGATCGTGACGGACACCGAGGCGGAGGGCTTCTCAGACTCCCACAATGCACTGCGGTAAGAGGCGTGAGGCCGCTGGCCACCGTGAGGTCACTGCTGCCTTTGGTAATTGACAGGTGCTTCGCGGGGGACCTAAGAGTTTGGCCTTTTATTTCCACTTTTAAGACCCCGGCTCTGGGCGGGGAACATGTGGCGCCACTGTCACAGCCCGTCACAGCCCGTCACAGCCTGCCCTGGGGTCAGCTCTCTGCAGGTGGCACCTCCCCTCCCCCGTTCCCTGGACCGTCTCAGGGTCCCAGGGTCCCACCCAGTGAGGACTTGGGCCCGGGACTCGGATGGTCTCTCCCAGTCCTGGCCTTGTCCCTCTGTCCTGTGCCTTAGTCAAGGAGCGTGACCCACCTGAGCCCCACCGTCCTCTGTAAGGCAGAGTCGGGTCACCGCTGTGCCCACCCCCGAGGTGTCGGGGGGCTGCTGATCCTCCGCCCACCTCGGGGCTGCTGGCCTGTCCCCTGCCACAGCAAGCCTGTCCCCCCTCCGCTCCGCAGGGGGCCGGGCGTCACTCAGGGTCCCCGGGCTGCCGAGGTGCTGGGCCACCCGCTGGGGGAGGAGGCGCGTCTCCTGGGGAGGGACAGCGTCCAGGAGGCTATGCGGCCCCTGCGCCAGCCCTGCCACCAGCCTGCGCTCAAGGGCCACTTCCCCTGACTCTCCTTGGGGACATCAGAAGGGCGTCACTCGCGCTCCTGAGCTGGGGCTGGGGCTGGGGTCCTGGGCCTGTGGCTTGGCTCCTGCCGGCCTCACCTGTCCCGTGTGGGCCCAGCGGTGGTCTCTGTCCTGGTCTCTGATGTCACCAGTCACCATCAAGAGTGATGCAGGGCCAACCCCCAGGCCCCGACCAGGAATCTGTCACAGGAAGCAGCAGGCACGCAGTGACCAGCAGCCCACACTGCGGGGGACCCAGGGGACATGGGAGGACACCGCGGGGGACACGTCGGAGGGGCAGGCTGGCTGTGACGCCGCGTTCCTTCCCCAGCATCCTCAGCTTCTCGGAGTCCACGTACACACCCCCGTCCTACATCTCCCAGATGGAGAAGGCGGCCAAGCAGGGGGACACCATCCTGGTGTCCGGCATGAAGACCGGGAGCTCCAAGCTGAGGGCGCACATCCAGGAGGCCGTCTACGGGGTGGGTGGCCGCTGCTCGCGCTCAGGGACACGGGGCGGGGGTGGCTATTGGGCCAGGCGACGTTGGGGCCTTTCTGCTGGTCACTGCGCAGGGAATGTGCCCAGCATGCGCCCCGTCTCAGTTTGTGGATCCTGAGCAGCGGGTTGTCACTCCCTGCCTGTTCTCCCTGGTGTCCCCACCCTGGCCTGGGACACGCCCCAGCATTAGGGACCTTGCTGGGGCTCGGCCTCCCCGGCTGCCTTCCTCGGCCCCGGGCAGAGACCCCGGGGCCACTGGTGGAGGTGGCCAGCCCCAGCCCTGCCCAGGCCACCCGCCTCCTCGAGCCTCACCTGTACCTGGCAGGTGGGAGGGGCCTGGGGCACGTCCCCACAGACGGGGACGGGGCAGGCACAGGGGCAGAGAGAGACTCACCGACCCACCTCAAGGTCTGGCAGTGACGTTGGGGACATGCCCGCCGTGCCCCCAGGGCTCCCCAGGATTCCCGGGTCTGCAGTGTGGGGCTGAGGGACGGCTTGTCTGTCCACCCTGACGTCCCTGGTCCCAGAGGACCCTGTGGCTCGGTGGCCGAGCTGGCCCAGCGCGCAGGGCCTGGGCTCCAGCCCAGCTCCCCAAACCCCACGAGCCCCTGTCCCTTGCCCAGGCCGCTCCTTGGCGCCATCCCCTGCCCCCGGGGCCGTCCCCTGCCCACCTCACTCCTGGCTCCCCTCTGTCAGAACGTCCGCCCGGCCGAGGTCCGGCTGCTGATCCTGGAGAACATCGTGCTGAGCCCCGCGTCCGACGTCTACCTGCTGGTGGGGACCTCCCTGCGCTACAGGGTGCAGAAGATCAGGCAGGGGACCATCACAGGTGCGGGGCCTGGGGAGCCGTGCGCAGCCGTCCCCTCGGTCTGAGTCGGGGAGACGCAGAGAAAATCGGCCCCATCGGATGCGTTACCCACGTAGCCGTCCCCAGCTGTCCCCAGCTGTCCCCAGCCATCCCCAGTTCCAGAATGTTCCCACCTTCCCAAACTGGGACCCTGACCTGGCTCACCCTGTTCTCTGGTGCCCTGCCCAGCCCTGGCCCCCAGTACCCACGTTCTGCCCTCCTGCTCCATGGACCTGCCTGCTCTGGGGCCTCCTGTCCGTGACAGCAGGCGTGTCCCTAGTGCCACGTCCTCGAGGTCGACCTGCACAGTGGTGGGTCAGACAACTGTCTGCATGGCTGACTGCACCCCACCACCTGGCCGGACCTCGCCTTGCCATGTTGGCCCGGCCACGTGTGAGAGCACACGGGGTGGCCTCCGCCGTCTGGCCGACGCTCCTGAATGTGGGGTGCACAGGACTCAGCTCTTGGAGGGCACAGCCTTCAGCTCCTGGGGTGCACAGCCTTCAGGTCTTGGGGTGCACAGAGAGTCACAAAGAAAACTGTGTCTGCAAGTTCGAGGCTGTGGCTGTGCCCTGGGGTGGAGAGGACCGCTGAGGGGCAGAGGCCCTGAGGGTCAGGCGGGCTGTATCCAGCTGCGGGCCGGCAGCTGGGCGGGCGCAGAGATGGGGCTGGGTGCGCCTGGTCGCCGTGTCTCCTGGCTCCACCCGCCCTGTCTCCCTGCCCAGAGCTCTCGATGCCCTCGGATCAGTACGAGCTGCAGCTTCAGGACTGCGTCCCGGGCCCCGGAGGAGACGCTACTCGGCCTGTGGCTGTCCTGGCCCAGGATACGTCCACTGTCACCGCGGTGCAGCTGGGACGGAGCAGCCTCGTCCTTGACTACCGGAGTATCCTCTAGCCCTGTCTTTTTTTGGGGGGTTCCAAGGATTGATCTCAGGGACTCTCAATCCCTGAGCCCCGTCCCCAGCCCTTTTTTGTATTTTATTTAGAGACAGGGTCTCGCTGAGTTGCTGAGGCTGGCCTCTAACTTGCGATCCTCCTGCCTCAGCCTCCTAAACCGTTGGGCCACCACGCCCCGTGAGGTTCCGTTTACTAGGGTAGAAAGCACAGCGGGGCCCTTGACCCTGAGCTGCCCTTGGTCTCGGTGGCCTGGGCCACGGGGCGCCCGAGTAGTGTCTCCCTCTCCTCCAGGGTCTGTGTGGCCTTGGTGACGGTCAGGCCGTGGGGGGGCCAGCTGGCTCACGTGCTGTCCTGGGTGCTGCCCCTTAACGAGGAACCAGGCATCCGCATGCAGGGCGCGACCAGGCTGCCCAACGGCACCATCTACGTGGTGGAACCCGGGTACCTGGGTGAGTGTGGCCCTCGGGAACCTCCTGGGCCTGGCTTCGGTGTCACCTGGAGAGTCTCAGGAACGGAGAGGCGTGGGCAGGGCCGGGCACCACAGGGTTCCCAGGACAGCGTCCCCTTGGGCCTGAGGGGACTCGCCTGCTGACACCCTGGAGTCAGGGGGTGCTGCCCTGGCGCACCGTGACCTGCGGGCTTCCCCGCTGCCCCAGAGGCCGAGGTTTGGTGTGGACGCCACCTGACTGTGGTGAGGCTGGGGGCGGTGGGGACATGGCCTCGTGTCCCAGGAGCTGCCCTTGGACCTTCTCCACGCAGCTGCTGGGCACGGGGTGGGGGCTGAGGCAGGTCCTGGACCACAGGCAGGGACGAGCGAGCCAGGGGTCAGTCAGTGCCACACAGCAGGGGGACGTCACCGAGGCCTGCGTCATCTTAGAAGGAGCCTTGGTGGGAAGGGCGTCCAGGCAAGTGGACAGCTGGGGAGGTGGTGCTGGTGTGGCACCCCGTGGGGACAGTGAGACCTGAGGGCAGGGCCAGCTCAGTGTAGACCTGCCCAGGCCCCGGGTGGACCTGCTGCGAGCCCGGCTGGCCCAGGCCCCACCTGCTCCTGTCCTGTGCCTTGCTGTGGCCTCGAGCCTCAGAGCCTTAGCCTGGCCCAGCTGGGGACCCGGTGCCTGGCCCTTCCCAGGCCTGCGGTGGCCTCTGTCGAGTGCAGTGAGGACAGGGTCCCGCTGTCACGAGCCCTGGGCAGCCAGAGCGGGGTGTGCCCACTGGTCCTGGGAGTCAGAAAGGCCAGCCGGGGTCCCCTGGGGCGCAGGCCTCACCTCCCAGCTGGTCCCTCTCTGGGTGGCCGGGCAGCAGGGCCGGGCCTCCAGGTGGGTGGTGGCCGCCCCCGCGGCTGGTGCGCGATCGTCTCCTGGGCCCTCTGCCCTGGTCACCTGGGTCCTCAGGCCCCTCTCCACCTGCTTTTAGGGTTTGCAGTCCACCCTGGTGACAGGTGGGTCCTTGAGACTGGCCGCCTGTACGAGGTCACCATCGAAGTGTTTGACAAGTCCGGCAACAAGGTCCACCTGTCTGACGTGAGTGTCCCTGGGGGCCTGGCGGGTGACCAGCATGGTTGTCTCCCAGGGCAGTGACCAGCCCAGGGGCAGACATAGGAGGGGTCCTCTGCCACCAAGGGTGTCTGGTCTGTGGGGACACTGACGTGGGGACAGTGACATGGGGCCATGGGGCTCCGCTCGCTGTGGGAGCCGCGGTGTGCTGTGGTCCCACGCGGGGCAGACGGGCAGTGGACAGCGGTGGGGACTCCGCCTGGGCCCCTGGCCCCTGCCTGGTCTCAGGGGCCAAGTCCACGCCTCCCCCTGCGCCCCAGGATGCCTGTCATCTCCCAGAGGCCCCTCGGTGACGGGGCCATCTCAGGCTCCTGCCTGTGGAGGGGCACATTCGCTGTTGGGACAGGTGGAGCATGGTGGCCCTCCTCTGTCCCTGTGATTGCTGCCCCAGTGCCATGGTGGCCGTGGCTGGAGGGCCAGGTGGAGGGTCCCGGGAGGGCTGGTGGCCAGGTGGTCAGGGCACCGCCCAGGGCTCGGGCAGCCTTTCCTGGTGTTCAGAGGCCCCTTCTCTGGCCCGTCCTGGCCACTGTTGTCGCGTCCCCGAGTCCCTGAGTCCCCGAGTCCCCAAGCTCCGCCCGTGTGCCTTGCAGAACATCCGGATCGAAGCCGTGTTTCCCCACGAGTTCCTCGAGGTCCTCTCGTCGTCCCTGAACGGGTCGCACCATCACGTCCGGGCAGTGCAGCGGGGCCAGGCCACCATCCGTGGGGCGCTCACCTCCGTGGTGGACGAGGCACGTGGGGCCCCTCCCCTGCCCGGGCCACCTCCTGTCCCCGTGCAGTACCAGGTGTCCCGTGTCCTTGATGGTCCGGAGCCCAGCCGCCCCTCAGGAGGCCACCCCCCCGTCCTCCCTGCAGATGGGGACAGTGCTTTGGGCTGCGTGTTGGCAGGGTGTCCCCTTCCCGGGCCTGTGTCACCCCACCTGCCAGGGCCATCGGTGTGGCAGACCATGGTCTGTGCCGCAGGCCAGGCTGCCCCGTCCACCGCAGCCCCGGGATCGGTGAAGGGCTGCAAGTTCCCATCACCTCTGGGAAGCGGGTCCCCTCCTCTGCCCTGGGCCACCCCGGGCTTCGCTGTGGCCGGCTGTGCACAGTGGCCTCCGCACAGAGCCAGGGAGGGCTGTGGCCCTTCCAGCACCTCCCTGTCCACCTGAGGCCTAGTCCCCAGGGCGAGGCAGGGGGCTGGGAACAGCTGCGGGTGACTTGCTGTCCTAGTGACACGCAGTGACCTCACCCCTGACAGGACGGAGGGGTGCACATGCTCCCGGTGCCCGTGTGGAGCCAGCAGGAGGTGGACATCCACGTCCCCATCACCCTCCACCCCAGCATCTTGACGTTCCCGTGGCAGCCCAAGACTGGCGCCTACCAGTACACCATCCAGGTACGGGACTCAGCCCGGGCGTCCCTGGGCTTCCCGGGCGTGTGGCCTCCGTCCGCTCTGTGACGTTTTTTGGTAACCAGGGATTGAACTTGGGGGCGCTCGGCCCCTGAGCCTTGTCCCAGCCCTTTTATATCTTACTTAGAGACAGGGTCTCGCTGAGTTGCTCAGGGCCTCGCTAGGTTGCTGAGGCTGGCCTCTAACTTTTGGTCCTCCTGCCTCGGCCTCCCCAGCCACTGGGATTCCAGGCGCAACGTACGTGCCGTTCTGCAACTCGGCGTTGCTCTCTGCTGTCTGACTGAGTCTCAGGGGCTGTGGTCCTGTGTTCCCTGAGGTCCCTGTCACTGCAGCATTCTGGGTTGCCAGGGAAGCAGCCCCCAGTGGACACTAGCCAGAAACCACAGTGAGCCCTGGAAGGCCCTGGAGTCCCACTCGGCAGTCGCTTGTGTAAAACATGTGGAGCAGCATAAGTGCACTAGAGAGAACTTTGAGATTTTAAAGGAAAACTCTCTGCAACCCTGTCCACGCCAAGCGTCTGAACTCGCTGGCGTCCATGTTCCCACAGGGAGTGGCCTCGGAGGGGGCTCACGCCCTGTGGCCAGCCCAGTCCCCGGGCCTTGTGGGTGTCCTGGTGATGACAGGTGGCCTGTCCTTGTGCCAGCACCTGCCCCTGCCCACCCAGACCTGGCACTGATTTGGCCTCTGGGGTTCAGGATCGTGACCCCTGACCTGGGCACAGCGGGTCTGGCATTTGTCCCCAGCAGGGGGTCAGGACCTGGCCAGGGCCTGTGCTCATGTCTGGTCACAGAGACAGCGTCTGCTGGTGACTCCGGGGCCAGGGCCGGTCGCTGCTCCAGCTGAGCTCCAGGCACAGCCACTGGTTCTGGGACCAGGGCCAGGGTTCTGTGTTCGTGTCTGGCAGTCCCGAGGTCCCCAGAGCACGAGGTCCCCAGAGCACGAGGTCCCCAGGCACCAGGTCCCCAGAGCACAAACGTCCCCATGGCACCAGGTTCCCAGAGCACAAACATCCCCAGACCACAAGGTCCGCAGAACACAAATGTCCCCATGGCACCAGGTCCCCAGAGCACAAATGTCCCCAGAACACGAGGTCCCCAGAGCACAAATGTCCCCAGAGCACAAACGTCTCCAGAGCAGGAAGTCCCCAGCACACGAGGACCAGAAGGGAGATGGGAACGAGGGGTTGAGGTCCCATGGGCACCTCCAGCCCCCGATCTCCGCGGGTCTGTGGACCTGTGCGTGTCCCCGTGTGGGGCAACAGGGCGCGAGTGGGTGGTGTTCCCGGGGGCCGGTGGCACGCATGGGCAGGTGCAGGTGGACTGGGAGACTGTGGTGGCCGTGGGCATGACTTGGCGAGTGTGTGGACACAGCGTGGACGTGTCCCTGGCCAGCACGGCAGTGGGCACCTCATCCCCCACCTGCCACTCCCCAAGGCCGGCCGGTGACTGCATGCTCCCTGGCGGCTCTCCTCCCCAGGCCCACGGGGGCAGCGGGAACTTTAGCTGGTCTTCCTCCAGCCACCTGGTGGCCACCGTCACCGTCAAGGGCGTGATGACCACGGGCAGCGACACGGGCCTCAGTGTGGTCCGGGCGCAGGACGTCCAGAACCCCCTGCATTTCGGTGAGATGAAGGTGAGACCCCGGGCTGGACAGCGGGGCAGGGGTGGCCGGGAGGCCGGGAGCACCCAGCCTGCCCTGTGGGACCGCGACGCGGTACCCTCGCCCCAGCCGGAAGGGCCAGTGCCCCAGGGCTGGGGTCCTGAGGAGACCAGATCACCCCGAGGACCGGGAGGGTCAGCCGGTCCAGAGAGGGCCACTCTGCCCTGGGCTGTTGGGTCACAGGGAGAGGTCCCCGGGCCCGAGACCCCAGAGCCACGCTGCGCCCGGGACTTTCTCCCTGAGATGCGGGGCAGATGGCTGTCCCTCTGCCCCCACGGCCTCTGCCCCCAGCCCCTCCTGACCACCACTCTGAGCTCCCTCCCTGACCCACTAACAGCGGAGGACACAGGCTGTGGCCCTGTGGTTGGGATGTGGGTGGCAGGTCCTTTCCCCTCCTGCTGGGAACCACACACCCACTAGACGGCCCAGGCCACGTGTGGACACCTGGACAGAGGCCCTGGGGGGCAGCCCCATTGTGCAGTGTGGTGTCCACGGTGGCCACTCCCGGCCTCCCTCCTCCCTGCAGTTCCTGTGCCACCCGGAGCCCCAGGACAGCTCCTGGGCCAGGCAGCTTGTCCCCTCCTGGACATCCCCAGAGGGGGCTGGGCTGTCAGAGCCCCTCCTGGTCCTCGGGCTACTGGGCTGGTGGCCTTGGGCTTGCCTGGCAGGAGACAGGAGGGACAGGTGAGCAAGCCAAGAAGCTGCAGGCAGTGAGTGGCCCCTCTGGCCTCCTGCCCTGCCCCAGGCCACCTGAGCTGTCCGTCCAGGGTTGCCCCCTCAGATCTGCCGCTGCTGCCCACCAATGGCCTCCCCGTTAGTCGCCTGGTGGCCGATTTTTGCACAGGACCCAGAGTGTGGCGCCCTCTGCAGCCTCCCCAGCTCAGCCAGAGTGAAAATGGGGTCAGGCCCTGACCATGGCCTTCTGGGCCTCCTCCCCCTGTGGCCACACTGTCCTTTCCGTGGGGCGTTCAGGGGATTGAACCCAGGAGCCCTCAAATCCTGAGCACTGTCCCCAGCCCTGTTCTGTACTTTATTTAGGGACAGGGCCTCTCTGAGTTGCCCAGGGCCTTGCTTTTGCTGAGGCTGGCCTCCAACTTGCAGTCCTCCTGCCTCAGCCTCCTGAGCCACTGGGATGACAGGGTGCACCACCGCGTGTGGCCACACTGGCCTCCTTTGTGTGCCTACGAGGAGCTGAGCAGCTAAGCCCATCTCAGGACCATCCTTGGCCTGACTGTCCCCCAGGGAGACATTTCTCTGCCTGGCAGGGCTGACGGGCTCATGTCTGTGCACCTAGGTCCCCTCTCAGAGACCAGTCCCCTTCCTAGTCAGCTCTGTGCTTGCATCCTCCGTGCCCAGCCTGGTTGCCCTCTGGTGTGTCCTCAGGGCCACCACAGCACACCTGGCACACTGAGCCACTGAGCCGCAGGCCGCCTCCCGCAGAGGCTGACAGCCCAGGCCTGGCCCTCCTGCAGGTGTATGTGATCGAGCCCAGCAGCATGGACTTCGCCCCGTGCCGGGTGGAGGCTCGAGTGGGCCAGACCCTGGAGCTGCCCCTGAGGATCAACGGCCTCATGCCCAGTGGGGACAGCAAGGTGGTCACCCTCAGCGACTGCTCCCACTTCGACTTGACGGTGGAGGTGGAGAAGCGGGGCGTGTTCCAGCCC